GACCGCAGGGCACAGGACGCCTCCTAGATACCACCTCACCCACCCGCAGAGCTCCAAATCCTCTATAGTACCTTGGATTTCCAAAAATTCTCGTCCCAAACCTCCTCGCACTGTGCTGCAGGCCTAACTCCTGGGGGGTATCACCCACAATCCACCACCTACCTAGCCTACTCACGAGCCCACCGAACTGGTCACCTCCGTAGGCTATCTACGATATCTACACATCCAACTGAGCACTCCAAATACACTGCCTCGCTGTGGGGTGCTAGAATATTAACCAAGCAGCCCACCACTCCACAGGTAAAATCCGGAATGAAAGAAAGTGGAGCCAAGGCCGCGAATGTGCCTCACCAATACCTAAACCGCCACCGTAGCCACCCCGCCGTGCTACAGGAGACTTTGCTTTCACCCAATAGTTCGGATTTCCAGCATTACACCGCACAATAACTTGGTTCGCTCCCACCTAGTCGGAACTTAAAAAAATTATCACCCGGGTATATGCACGGACTCGGTCCGGCCTTGTGGGGCTCTCCGCCACCAAGGGATGAGCTTAATACGATTAGCTAGTTAGTCAGTCAGTTATCGTACTTGTACAGGTAGTCAGTCGAATATGATCTCTAACCGTAATTTACTGTAGGAGCACAACGCGGGTATGAGCCCTCTCTCCCTTGGACTCGGACCTCCTTTGTGGGGTTCTCCGCTACCAAGGAATGATTAAAATGATTAGTTGGCTGGTTAGTCAGTCGAATATGACATGGTACCGGTATTACCGTATGATAGCTACCCGTACTGTACTAGTGCAGGACCGGTGTTACTTCCAACTCTGGTCAACCGGGAATCACACCGGAAGCTACTCGTACTCGAGTACTGAACACAACGCCCGCGCGCACTGCCCAAGGCGTGGCACATGGCGCTGATATGATATACCCTACTATAATACCGGCAGTTAGCGGGGAAAGGCCAGGGTATGATACCAAGGGCGCCAAGGGATCATGGGCCTTTAGCTGAGTGTTAGTATGGTATTTGGCTCCTTTAATGTTCCTGTCTCGATCGATATTACCGATATATCGCTTCGTCCTGTCCACCGTACAAACGAGGAAGGTGGTGGAGAGTGACTTAGGTAGTTAATGGTTGCCCCCCCCCCGGGCGCAGGATTAGATGTTCTGAGGGGGAATAAACGAAAGGCAGGGGGGGAAGGGCTCGGGGTGGGAATTGCAATACCATACTCACATGCAGTGCCCAAAGTATCATACGGTATGCACCGTGAGCCATTAGCAAGAAAGTCCGATCTTAGGGGATGATACAAGTAACCCCCACCCCCGGAACATTAACAACCCTAAAAACGGAAACAAGCCCAGTGCAAAAATAAAAGAGTGAGAAACCATGTTTCACAGCACTACCCACACCAAGGAGATCACCACCTCAGCAGCCCGATTTAGGACCCAGCCCGGTCGTGCCTTCCAGAACTAACTTACCACGAATTCTTCAAACAGGGCTCACGCCAAAGTTAATAAATCCGGCCGATTGGTTGTGCTCCTACCGTTCCCCCGTCAACTTAATTTGAATCACAACCCCAGATAAATCAACGGCCGGTCCCGGTTCCAAGGATCAAGAGCTCCTGGCATCACCCCACCCGTCCATTGGCCCTTCCAATGCACACAAAGGAGCACGTAACAATGCCTCCGGAAGACAATAAATTACAACAAACTATCAGTACTACGGTACGCACCGAGCCACATCCCATATCATCACCCATGGGGCGGCCGGGTATTCCGTGATAGGTAGGTCATATGGAAATGGGCCCCCGATAGTACGGCGATGATCCTTGATGGACGGGTGGATGGACGGATGAATGGAGAGCGGGTGCCTAGCGGTTGTGGCGAAAAGGTCGGACAGAATGCCGGTATTCACTTACAGTATCGGCGCTTGAGCACGGCGCAGCTATCCCTCAACCCACGGCGGAAGTGGGGGGTAAGAATAAACAGAGCTGGGGGAGAAGGTGGGGGGAGGATGTGGAGAAGGGGGGTGGGAGGTGGGAGGTGGAGGGTGGGGAGTGGAGAGGGCGGGAGAAAAAAAATATAGTTAAGGCTACCACAAGAAGGATATGGAAGAGGAAAGGTTGCTCGTAGCTACGATCCAGCTTATGTGCAGATCGTACAGCCCAAGGGTTATGATATGTTTTGAATCTACTCGAGCACTGTAGCTTGGGCTGGGGCTGCGGTAACGGTATCGTGGTGAAAGGTCTCAGTGGAGGCTTCCTTCCTCTCCCCATGGAATTCAATGGCATCCATCGCCGGGGCACTATCACAGATTCCTTGGCAGAGGACAGAAAGGGGGGAGAAGAAAAACCACTCTGAAGCTATCCGAGCAATGCCAGCCAAGGAAAGCTTTTAGCAACGCGGGCGTGCTATTTGAGTGAAATTACCGCGACAAGGTTTCTACAAACCAAAAGCTCCAGTGCTAAGTATCATAGACTTTTTTATGCTTAGTCATAAATAGCTTTGTCTTCTTACTCCGTAGGAGAAGTGTCCATTTTCCCCACAAAATTGATTAGAATCCATATCGGAACCGGCGCCGCCAAACCACACTTTTCGTTAAAGTTTTCGACCTGTCAAAAGGGAAGTGGCCTCAAGCGAAAGCCCGAGCTAATGGAGTCGAAAGCTGTCATTCTTTATTCAAGAGCCTTCCTTTGGGTCTATCGGTAAGGGGATCTAAGGCGATAAACTTTGCCTTAGAAACACTAGGCAAAACAAAGTGGATCCAACCGCAGGGCCTAAACAACTCTAGATTATAATAAATGCCCTGTACGGTAATTGAAACCTTGGAGAGAAATCCCTAAAATCATTCCATGAAATTTCCCCTTTCTCATCCAAAGAGATTCTGTAATCTCTTATGGCTATTGCCAATGACCAGTCTATCACGTCCCTCTCCTAAAAGTGGATGGAAGAGAGGGAGGAACTAAGCTCACACCAAATTTTGAAGATCCTATGGTGGCAGAGGGCTAGAGAGGAACTTGGGAAGAATTAGAGAAGAAATGACGGAAAAATCAGACTAGTATACTGGTAGTAACTTTTTAAGAAAATTACCCCTCTTGTTCAGCATGCTCCTTACGTTTTTCCCCAGCATTATTTCAGCCAATGTTGAGATAATAGGTGTCGGTAGCACTAAACTTCGATCATTGGTCACTACCAAAAACAGGATGCCGCTTGCTGTTACCCTCAAGGCCTCTTCATCCGGCACAAAGATGCATGCCTTGCCGTCAGATTGTCGAGAGCTGATCCCCTCTTTTCGTTTGTTTTTCCCACAAGTCCCATCCCTTTTCCCCCGACGTCATTTTTCCATAATATTATGCTGGATGCCGACGATGTTAGGCAATTTATTCGGCGAGGTTAGCGGGAACCGTGGCGCTAGTTTGGAGTTATACCTTAAAGCCCTTGAAATTCACTTTCAGACTGTCAGCGGAAATCGGCTGTCAGCCCACAATAGGCTTAGTTCGACAGGTTAAACAATTGAGGATACTAATTAATGAGATACAACACATCTATCATAGTAGGATGATCTTGTACCGTGTCGGTAAAACGTCAATGCTTCTCAAGGACTTTTATCTCTGAATCCGGAGATCAGAGGCCAGCCGGAGGCAGCAGCAGATCGCAAATTATTTCACCCTACATGGGGGACTTGCGCGAGTACTGTACTGTACCGTACTCGTACAGCATTTGTGCCTCTGGCCTAGGAAAAGCGCTCGAATTCTGTACAGCACCCGTATGTCCTGTTAGTCTGACTGAAGGTGGCGCAAAAGCGTCAACCTCCCGAGGATGTTTTGCTTCTGTGCGTAAAGGCCAGATTCTGCCACACCGGTACCACGCGAGTACAATACATGTTGGGGCACTATACAGTACTTGTACGATGCTCGAGTACCGGCACTCTAGCGGGAACAGCAAACCCCAACCTTTATCCATCAACCTGCCATCAGACATGGTCGCCCGTCAAGCTTGTACGATACAATGCAGACCTCATGGGAATTTCGACTTCTTCTCTCCCCCTCCATCCCAAATTTTAAATCCAAGATCAACGGGAAGGAGGTACTTAATACAATGAACGAGTAGACAGCGGTACCAAGGTGGGCAAGAAGTTATTGGACGGTTACTGGAGGTTAGCCAGCTAAATACCGGTACCGGTATATCGTTGTCTGTCCCGGTTAGTGGGGCCTCTGGCCATGCCACACTGATTCCGCCAGACTGGATTTTGGTACGGCGAGGTTACAATGGAAAGGTCAAGGGTGGCCGAGGGTGTACCGGTATGTGATAAAGTCCTAGCGAACCCCTCATTTCAACACGGTATCGTACTGTACCGGTACTGCAAAGGACCATCGCCTATTCTCTTTTTTCCTCATAAGAGGTCACATCAACAACAGACAGACAGAACGTTTTATTATTGCTACCACCGTCATCCATTCTCCACCATGTACTCGTACCATACTTGTAGAATCACCGATAACTGGACTGTAAGCTACCTGCATGTTCCTCGAGTAGCCTCCCCCGGTGAGATCAGGTGCGTTTTTTTGTTCTCTTGTGTTTTTCAGAGGAACTGAATAGCTCGTGCTTTGCTGGGTTTCTCTCCAATCCAGAGAAGGGAATTTTGGACCACCTGGGTGACGGCTCAATCGGGTTACCGGAATTTGAAGCTCTGCGTTAAGTTACGGCACGAAATCACACCGATGAATGGCGGCGCCTCATCCGGACAAGCACAACTCTTCTTCCTCCTCAGCTAACTGCCGGCTTGTGTAGCACAAAAGATGGGTGGGCTTAGGGGCTGGGCTCCCGATCCAATCGCATTGCTCGAGTAATGTTGGGGGTAGATCAACCTCGGAAACCAAGGCGGGGAGGGCGATAAGTGTGAGGGTGCGATATTGAACTCTCACATGGCCGTCACCGTTGTTGCTTCCCTTTTTCTCCCCAGTTAGCTTAATTCCACTCCCACCCCTCACACATGTTTGCCTTGAGAAGCAAGAGGAGAGATACCGGGGGCACAGATACGGTGCCGGCAACAGTCAAAGGCTTATGAGAGGGAGAGTTCCTTCCTCTTTAGGAGAGGCCACATGGAGCTCGAATCCCTCATCTTAAACCCTGCGGCTCAAGGAACTGGCGCGCGGAAGAAAAAATCTGAAAACACGCGAATCGCCAGCTGTGGCTCTCGTTCCCCGAAATACAACTCTAAACCGAGACTGGAGGGAGAAAGGAAAGGAACAGGGTTCTACTTACCTATCGCTTCATCGGATTCCCTCGAGTTGGACGAAAATAGTAATTCCATATCCTATCAGGAGGGAGAAGTGGACATCGACGACCACGAGAGCTACAGACATAGAAACAGTGATAGCGAGGAAGAGGACGACCACCACGACCCCCAACATCTCCAACACTTTCTCCCCTCCACTCCCGCTACCATCAAATCAACTCTCACTCATTTCCTCTCCGTCATCCTGAATTCCATCCTTCCATCTAACGAAATGGCCACCGTACCCTCGTATACACAAGGAGAGGCGGAGACAACGTCAAAAGATAAAAATGCTATTTACTCTGATGGAGATATCGCATCTGCGGATTCGGATGCCGTGAAACTTGCTGGTTTGTGCTCCGAATTTCTTCTGTTCTCATACTCTCGCTTCGTCACCCCATCCTTTATTTTTATTCTTCTTCCCGGGCACCAACACCAAAAGCATAAACCGAAAGAGTCATCTCCTCTCCTCAACCTGAGACGATGAAGCCCCGTGACAAATATTTTGCATTATTTTGCGGCATCTTGTGAGGCACATGACAACTGACATGAAAATATCCAGAGATGGGTTACACCCAAGACCTTGAGAGAAACTTCAGCAAGTGGTCCCTTCTGGGGTGGGTTCATTATACCTCTTCCATTTCCCTTCCGTCCCGCAAACACGCCATTTGCCAACCTTCAGTGATTCAAGTGCTGGAGACGCCGAAGTAAGAGTTTTTGCTGACATGTCGTGGGTAAAACAGTGTTTCATTTGCTCTTACCAACAGTGGGTTTATGCATTAATTCTCTCTGTGGCGGGGGAACGGAAACTCACTGTGCGAATAGGCTGGTTTGGTATTTCTGCATCGCTTGTTACGGGTATCAACTCTGGAGGACCAATTGTTACTGTCTACGGAATCATCTTGATCGCACTCATCAATGGATGCGTCGGTATCTCATTAGCCGAATTGGTCAGTGCTATGCCGAATTCCGGGGGCCAATACTACTGGGTAAGTGTATTGGCTCCCCAAAGACACTCGAAATTTCTCTCATATCTTACCGGGGCTGTTGGGTACGCCGGAAGCATCTTCACATGCGCCAGTGTTGCGTTGGCAATTGGAAGTGCCCTAATGGGCATGATACAAATGAACCATCCAGATCTGTACGTGCCTTTTCTATGTAAATGCGCTTGGAATCGATCCTGATCACCTGTATCATATAGCGTCATCGAGAGATGGATGGTTTTTATTGCTTACCAGGTCTTCAATCTCTTCGCCTGGTTCTTTAATTGCTATGGAAAGACCCTGCCCAAGATCGGAAGCTTCTTTCTCTACGTTTCACTCACTTCGTTCATCGTAATCACCATCACCGTTCTGGCCACCTCGTCCCCGAAACAGAATGCGAAATTTGTTTTTGCCAATTTTGTCAACAATACCGGCTGGGAATCAAATGCAATTGCCTTCATTGTTGGCCTCATCAACCCCAACTGGTCATTTGCATGTCTGGATTCGGCAACGCATTTGGCGGAAGAAGTCCCACGACCTGAGAGCAATATTCCGTTCGCAATCATGGGAACTGTAGCAATAGGATTCGTTACGGCCTTTCTATACTCCATTGCGATGTTCTTCTCCATGACAAACCTAGATGAACTTGTTAATACAGCCACTCTTGTCCCTATCCTCGAGCTGTATAGACAGGCCACGGGCTCAAAGCCTGCTGCAATCTTTTTAGAGTTCTTGATTTGCTTCACAGGACTGGGTTGCCAGATAGCTTGCCATACTTGGCAGGCAAGGCTCTGCTGGTCCTTTGCGCGTGATAGAGGATTGCCGGGGTCTCGATATTGGTCCCAGGTCCATCCCACTATGGGAATTCCGTTCTATGCGCACACCATGAGCTGTATCGTTGTAGCGCTTCTAGGGCTGCTTTACATCGGGTCAACAACAGCATTCAACAGGTTACTATCTTCCTTCCATGCACTCACCCCTTGCCCTGGAATGTTAGCTGACGGAGAAAAAAATCTAATAGTATGGTAACCGCGTGTATTGTTCTGCTGTACATTTCATATGCCATTCCAGTCATCCTCCTCCTCATGAAAGGGCGCGGCAACATCAAGCACGGCCCCTTCTGGGCCGGCAAACCCGGGCTTGTGGCAAACCTTGTGCTCTTGTTCTGGACCGGTTTTACGCTCATCATGTACTCTTTCCCGTACACGAAGCCGGTCAAGAGTGGAACAATGAACTACGTATCCGCAGTTTACGGGGTTGTGTTCATCCTGACTATTGGATACTGGTTCGCCCGTGGAAATCGTACTTTCCGAGGAGGGAGAGAGCGAGCTGCTGAGGCAGAACAGATGGTTAAAGAAGTCGCAAGTCATGCACATGTAAACTAATGTTACCCCGGTTTGCCTTGAGCTTTTATTCTTCTCCACCCCCACCAACTCCTGCTCCCGATCCGATCTGATGGCTAAAGAAATCTTGCGCTTAAATTACCCTCTTCCTTCCTTCCCTCTCTTCCCCTGCATCCGTAGTTAGAAATCAGCTGTCTTGTAGAAATGAATTTACTTGGAAGCATACACAATCAGATGTTCTTACCATTACCCTTGCCGCCGCCGTAATCACTGCCCCTTGGCCAAGGGCAACGCCAGCCAGAATACTCGCACGTCAAGAAGTAAAAAGCAAAAAAGAAGGAGCACTTCCAACCACCCACCTACCTGCCACACCCCCGCAGCCCAACCAAATCTGCAATCTCGCATCATAGGATTCTGCACATTTATTTCATGGTGTCACACGGCAGCAAACAAAAAGCCGGTGGTCCTGTCTGGTGCGAGCAGTGCCAGAACCGCGCGCCCATCCAGCCATTACACTCGCTCTCTCCCGTCATCCTGCACACTTATGCAAAACATCACGAGCCAACCGCCAAACGCCATAAAGATGGAAGGGAGGAAAGAAGAAGGAAAAGAAAAAAAAAAGGAAAAAACAAGTTCCGCGAGAGAAAGAAGGAAGGGAAAAACACAGAAAAAGCAAAGAAATCGGCCCGATAGATTTCCCGAAGGATTCGCCACCGTGGGAGAGAGGGGGGGGTTGAAGCCCCCCAGACATTTGCTATTTCTCATTACAAGTACTTTGTATATTATCGGGGGTGGGGGGAGCTTCAAGTACAAGTAACTCGGTACCATCTCATTGGACCACCAAGCCTCGTGCCCCCCCCCCCGGCGCTCTCACGACGATGAGATGGGCAGTGCGGGTTCCGTTCGGTTACCATAGTAGAGCTAACCTTAGACTACCGTACGGTATTGTACTCGCCAGCGTACCTTACTAGTAGAGCACTGTACCACCACCAGCCATTGCGACACCGTACCGCAAGTCTCGGGATCCCCGTGGGGCTGTACAAGTAACAACGTTGTGGAATCGGAAATGGCCTATCGTGCACTTTGCCATTGTTTTTTTCCCTTTCCCATCTCCATTTCCATTTTTGTTTTTGTCGTTGTAGTCTATTATTATTATTATCATTACTATTACTACGATACTCGTACTTTAATATCCATCAGTCAGTTTCGTAAGGTAAGCTACGGTAGGGGTACCCACAATACAGTACTCGCACCTACCCACCCAATAAATAAAGAACTAAATAAATACATAAAATAAAAATTGTGGCAGTGCGGTATGTAAGTACGGTTACTGTGTCACAGTATCGTACCGGAGAAATTGCATACTGTGCGTTTGTTTGTTTGTTGTTCATCTTATTTATAAAGTGTCGTGATAATATTATCACCATCATATCATATCATATGGCACTCACTGTACTGTACTATAGTTCGCACGTGGTGCTTGTGCAGTAGGATGGTTTAGGTTGGGGGGAAATGCGGGGGGAGGAAGGAAGGAAGGGGTTGTTGACCGGGCTATTATTTCGAGCTGGATATGATAACATAACATGGGCGTCATAATCATAATCACAATATGTTGGACTTTGTCATACAAGTGTGATGTGATAGGGTAGATACGAGTACGAGTATCGTAGGTTGGGTGGCGGCTCGGCCCGAGCTGCTATGATACTACTACTATATACGATACGATACGATACTTTAGGCCGAAATTGAATACGAGTGATTTAGTATGAATATTAAGTGTTTGATATAGGTTGAAATTCGCACTGCGTCACTTTATGCTGGGGTGTATAGTACAGGTGTAGTGGTGGTGGTGGTGGTGGTGGTGGTGTAGGACAGTAGAGTGCCGAACAGTACTTGTACCGTGATTTGCACTTTGTTCCGCCGATTGCCTGGCTGTGCTTTCATAGGAAGCTAGATATAGAGCTGTAGAGTGGAGTACAGTGCTTTGGATGATAAATTAGTTCTGAGATGTTGAAGTCTAGCCCTTTTCTTCCTCCTCCTTCCTGGCCTTGGCTTGGCTTGCCTGGCCTGGCCTAGCCTGGGGGCGGTGATTACACGTAGTATCCCTTTTATTCCTTTCTTAGGGGGTGGGAAATGGCTCTCTGCGGGAGCGGTGTACTCCGTGGCTGCAGGTGTGATATGTGCCAAGTTACTGGTGTTTGTGTTTCTGCTATAGTGGAATAATAGCGTTAGTCTTCAACCGGGGGGCACCAAAGAAAATTCGGAGGATGACGATACAGTGGTCTCTTCATGTCGGTATGGTATGATATTTTGCAGGCGGAAAAGCGGTTTCGTCAAGGTAGGGTAACAAGGGGAATGCCCGTTATGATATTGTATGATACGGTAGTGATCTTGTCTTGTTAGCCGCCGACTGGTTTTTGTCCTGCTTCCCCGTTGAGGAGTGCTCGGTAGGGCACTCGTGCGGGTAAGAGTACCGGTAGGTACATGGTACTGTGCTTGTATCATACAAGGTTCCAGCATACTGTGAAGTATTGGTACGGTACCCCGGGACTGGGTGAGCAGGGTGTTGAGTTTGATGTTGATTCTGGTCATAGATTGTGCACTGATTATGGTACCAGCTTGTTTGTCCGAAAACACAACCCTTCCGTTGCTCGACGGGGGGGATCTGGAGAGGGATGGGGAGGGAGGGAGGGAGGGTCTGCTATCTGGTAGGTGCATTGAAGTGGGCACCGGGTGCCCGGTCCATCGTTGCGCTTGTTTGGGGTTGTCGCTGAGGGGAGGGGAAACGGGGATCCTCCCCCCCTGTGCACCATGTTTCTCCGGTGCACCACTTTTATCATTATACTAAAGTTTTGGTCATGCATAGCGCTTTACCACTGCACTGTTCTTGCTCGACCAATGCGTATGAGTGAAGAGAACAGCGGGGGCGAGCCGGGTTACACGCTAAAATGGGGAGTTTTCCGCACATCGATATGGATCAGGAGTTTGGCGTTGAGGTGGAAATAATTTCATGTGCTGGTCCTTTGTTCCTCCACTTTGCCTCTGCTGGTTTGAGAATAGGTATCATTTCCACACTTTTTTTTTTTTTGGAATCTATGCACGGTAGGCAATTCTCAGAGGTGCAAGCACTTGTGCAGCAATTGAAACCATCCACGCGGTGTCTTGAATCTTAAATATCTTGCACCGAATACCCCTGTTTATTTTTTTTTGGTGGGGAATGCCGTTGTCCCACTGATTGCCGATGCCCTCCTCACTCGTGTGCTTGCACAACATGGCCTCCCCCCGACACGGTATAGACTCTGGAGGGAGGGGGGGGGATTGTGTGCAACTGAATCCTCAGCCCTACGAGCGTCTCACGTCAAACCCGTCCCTTGTTTCCATCTAAAACCGCGGACCTCGCCTCCACTTTCGCTCCAGTTCGTTCCATTGCTAACCCACCGGAGCCTAAGAGCCACATTTGCGAAAAACAAGAATAAATAAAAATGGGTCGTTACTCTCCATCCCACTATTCTTCTCTTCTCCTTTCTTTTCCTTCGCACCCTCCGATCCCTTCGCGGATTTCTCTGTATGGCCCTTCGCTGATCGCGGCGGCCCCCACCCGAGACAGGCAATATCGGCCCACCGATGAACGCCGTAATCTAGTAGCAGCATTACGGTACTCGAGTACATTTAAGTGCGCATTGCGTGAGCGTATGCGCGGGTCTTTCTTTTTTTTCTTCTCCTTCGTCGATATCGGACGCCGTGAAAACTCTTGAAATCCGATCTCAAGATTGGCAGGTATCAGCCCGTTCAGCCCACGATGGGTTTCGTTTGATAGGTTAACGGAGTTGCCATTGCCAATTACGGTAATTGGATCCAAGGTTCCCGTGGGCTGAGCTTATTACTGTACGAGTACTAGTACTGTACCATCCCAGGAGGACGCTAACCCTTCTTTCCTCTCAGAGTCCGGATATTACGGGGTTGACGGAGATAAGTGGGTCTCGGGTGTATCCGTTCCCCGAGCCTCGGCTGGTGGACTTTGTCGCGAGGGAGGTGAGCGCGATTGGGGGGTTCCCTTGTTTGCATTGGGTATCGTATCTGTAAACCATTATATTTTATTGCACTTATCATGTACCGGTACTGGATTTATGATTGAGGATAAACATGTTAGGTCATGTTGGAGCTTACCGGGAGGTTGCCGTGGTCCTCGTGGAAGGTTCACCTGTGCTTACCGGTGCTCCCGGCACCGCACGGTACCTTTACTCGAGTATTTCTCGGTCCGTGGACGCAATTGCGTGGGCAGTGCTGCGAGGGGCGCGGGTGCTTTCTTTTTTGCTCATTTTTCAGAGCTTTTCAGAATTCCCGATCAAGTGTTGAAGGGAAATTTTTTTTTAAGTTGGCCAAGACAGAGACGCTAATCCCTCTTTGGGAGCATTGCCTGTACCAGGTAGAGTATTATTATTATTATTATTATTATTATTATTATTGTACGAGTACCTAGCTCTAGGGCTAGGGTTTCCGAACTTCATGAGAACACGGACCCATTATTGCATACTCGAGTACCGGTATGATAGATAAATTTGCTGCTTTGAATGGGGAAGCCCCGGACCGTGCTGAACTGTGCTGAACTTAAGATCTCTTTCCATTGAACAACCCCGGACGGGCTCCGGAAAAAGTTCTGTTCCCCTGCGAGATTGGGGAAACCTATCTCCGCCTTCCTCATACGAGTACTAGTACAATGTGCCGGCAGATTGTCGTCGGGATCTGGCGGTGGTTTGGCTTTCCTTTTCTTTTTCCCTTTTGTCTCTCCCCCCTCCCCCTTTTTGAGCGTCCTGTCTTGGAGTGGGAACTACAGTAGGACATCGGGCTTTACCTTTTTACCCGCTGTGCGCAGCAAAGCAGTTAAAAGTGTGATGATGTCTGGCTGCATACAAGTGGACAACCTACCTGACCTAGCTTGTCGTACGCACCGTCCTCGTGCAGTACCGTACCTGTGTCGCTCCGCAAGATATTTCGGCGAGGCCGGCCTTTCTCTTCTTTTCCTTTCTTTTTCCTTCGGGTTATGCATGCGGTGTTTTTTTTTGCCGCGTTGGGAAGTGAGCTTGGGGTGCAATGATCGGGTGGGCGGGAATAGGTTCTGTAGGATCTTGGGGGGGGGGGAGATGGTGGTTGCCCGTGGTTGGTTGGTTGGTTGCCCTGTTTGATGGCTTATGAGATGCCGTGGAAGGTGGTGGTGGCGGTGGAGCGTTTTAAAGGCCATGAACAGAAGGTCTGGTCGGGACAGAGGTGTTTGGACGCAGGAGGTAAGGGGGTTCTGTGAGCCATGGAGACCAGGAGCAGCTATTAGTCTACCGGTACCGTAGCTGGTCAATTAGGTGGTCGTTGCATTACTGGTATCTGGCTATACTAGTAGCTGGCGCGCGTCAAGGGTGCTTGGGTGCCGCAACCGTAGAGAAATGGAGGGGGATCCTCAACCCACACCAACCCATCCTGTCCTTCCCCCCTCTCCCTTGGACCCAAACTTATGATGCCGGTACCGTCCCGGTACTTGTACTCAGTGCTCGATTGCCGTACTCGTACTCTACTTGTATCCGTATCCACATCCATATCCATATCCATATCACTCTCCCCCGCCAGATAGGAAAATTTCGGGCGATCCTCTCAATTGACTCGATGGAACAGGGACTGACGGGCTTACAGTCCTTGTATGATACCCTACCGGTACTGTGCGAGTACAGTATCCCACATCTCTCTAGGAGTAAAAAACCGCGAGCGAATACCCAAAAGGGCTACACCCGCATTTCCACCAAACTTCTATGACACGTTCTGTGCATGCTTCTTGGCCCAGGGATCTCCAGGCGCTCTCTCCCTTTCATGGGGAAGAAAAGAAAAGAAAAGAAAAGGAGGAAATGCCCTATCATACTTGTAAAACCAAGTGCAGAATTCCATGTTCTCTACGATGGTCCGGCCAGTCCCGGTATGGTCTTAAGAACTACCGGACGGGTACTGCAAGTAGTACCGTAGCGCACACGCTGAAGTGTTGCACAAGGGCTCACTCAGGAGGTGGAAATACCTAGGCTGAGATCAGGACTCGTAGACTTGTCGATGTCCATATGTATGATCCGGGCTTCTGAGATAACTCTTCCGGCACAGGAGGGAATTAAGGTTAAGAATAGCGTTACGCATGATTGGCCATTGGGGGGGGAGGGGGGCTTAGGCGTGGCCGCGTGGGTTCGGGGGCGTTTCTCCAGGGGCCTGGGAGTAGGCAGCCAAGATAGTTTGCTTGATGGTGGGCATTGGGACTCCAGGTGGATCGTAGTGGATTGGACGGGATGGAGTTAGTGAGGCTTTGCTGGCTCGCTGGCTCCCGACCCTCCACACGTCTTCTCGGCTTTTTTAAGGTGTGACGTTTGGGATTAGTTGTGATTACTGTAGTTGTCGATGAGTGGCTTTGGCGAGTGCGTGATGAGGTTCGAATCGGTGGATTAGCTATCATCAGTCTCCTTTTTATCCTCTCTCCTCAGCCCCCCAGGTTGGGGTTTGTCCGGGTACTGTACCAGGTATGCAGCCCTATCGCATGGCTCTTCTGGTTTGACGTTGCGTGCACAGCATACGGTGACTTTCAGTCGCCAGTCACTCACTGATCTTGATTAGCTAACCATCGTGTCATCACTTCATACCCGTACCGGAGAGGTCTCTTTTAAAGTGCGATGAGTGAGTAACAGGTGTGATCAGGCCTGAATGCGAGGCGATAAGTCCTCGGGGAGGCATGAGTACGAGTGCCTTGTGGTGGTCCATGGCTTACCGCATGTTATATATATTATACCGCTCGCACTCCCGGGAACGGGCCCTGATCCCCAATTTCTTTGAGGGAATCTTCCTTTCTTGCCATTCCTCCCTCCCTAACGAAGCCCCCACACCTTATTGGGATTCTCCCCTCTTTACTCCATCCCCCCATCCCCCCATCCCCCCTCCCCCTCCCTTGGGCCTCTCCCATCGTTACCCATCCATCATACAGGCTAGACATCCGTTCGTTCGCTCGGCAGGGTTGAATGAACTGCCTTTTGCTCAAAGCGCTGGGGGCCCCTACACCTCGGCATACCGAGTGAGAGCCACGGACCAAAGTTTTCCCAGTGTATCATACCTTTTTTTCATTTTCATTTTTCAACTTGGAGGCCTTTCTCACTCTCTCCTTCCTTCCTCTTCCATTCCAGTTTGGTGAGCGGACCCTCCTTTCCTGGTTTTTCTTTTTTTTTTATAATTTTCCTTCTTTCAAAGAAGTTTCGTGCTGTGTCACCATTTTCTGTCCAAACGGCGGCAGGAACAATTCCACAGTGCCAGCTTGCTCCCCGTCACTGCTCATCCCTGCTGCTCGTTTACCTTCGACCACACGAACGCCCTCCGGCATCCCTACTGTCGCCTCGAGGAGGGGATATTGGGTCCGCGGCTGCGGCATTCACCCACTTCTGCTGCTTCCGCTTGTGCTCTCACAATAAGCGTCACAGTACCGGTGGCCCATACCCCCCCCCCCCCCGGGCTTGGCAATATAGGTGTGTTCACTCTTTGGGATATTTATGATACCCGATTCTTCCCATTTCCCATTTCAAATGTCTTTTTTATATATTACCGTACTTTGTCTACCATGTCGGCAACCACCATGAAACCCTGTTAGGGGGTAGATGGATTGAATTCTTTCAAATACCGTAGACCTTTTTTTATCTCTCTATTTTTGTTCTATTTGGCCTTTTTAATATTTATCCCTAGCCTAACGAGGGGCATATTTCTTTTGTGATAGGTTGACCCTTCTCTTGTTGTCGCCTCGTTTATAGCGTGGGCAGTTACCTTCCGTACGCGCTGTATCGGCACCTGCTCCTCCAACAGTTTGATTGCTTGATCAGTCAGGAAATCCGATCGTGATAAATCATTAGGGAGGGGTGCTTGCTATAGGCAAAGCACGGGCAGAAGCAGGAGTTCCCCCCGCTCTCAGAGCCCTAAGAGTGCATTGATTTTCTTCCTGTCCATCCACCCGGCCACCGACCGACTCAAATTGATCTCCGCTCCCGTGCGGGTTGCAAGAATTAAAGATCGGTTGTTCCATCAGCGCTCGCTCCCAGCACATCTCCCGCAGGTTTCATCATCTCTTTGGCATTATAGAATTGGTTGGACGCTCGGCCATTTCCCTACGGTCTTCCCCTTCTGACTCCTGCATAAGCTCAGCTCTTCCTACAACATTCTCTGCATTGGCAGCGAGCCAGGTGAGAGAGGGGTGGAGAAAAAGGAAAAAAGAAAAGAAAAGAAAGAGAAAAGGGCTCGAGTTGAGTTGGTTCGCATATAACTTGCCTTCCCTTCCTTTATTACCATTTTCGTTCTTTTATCATCGCCCCTCATCACCCGGTTTCGACCTATCTACCTGCAAGTTCTCGACGACCGGGAAGCAGCACGGACGGGGCAATTCCATTACGACACCGGCAGTCTACGTTTTAACGGGTGGGAGCCGCCGTGCATTGGGTGGTCGCCGTGAGCAAAAGAGATCAATTTTGGCGACAACACCGCGGGAACTGAGGCTTGGGCAACCCCATCTTCTTTCGCGGGGGAAGTAGGGTGGAATTGATAGTCGGGTGACAGGGTCTTTACTGTACCCTTCCCATTCCCCCTCCGTATCCTTTGCTCTGCTTCACCTTTCACTTTGTATCGACCGAACTGTCCTCCTTGTCGCTTCTTCAAAAGGGCCGTGCCTTACGTACGTTAATTGCGTCACGCGCACTATTTTTCTGAGATACTTTTCCTCAACGGACACCGGAGGGAAGAAAGAGAGAGACGAAAACTAGAGGCCAGAAAGGAAAAAAATACAAAGGATTTGTCAAATCCTCGATACTGGTACCAAACATTTAGCAGAGACCTTTGATCCTACAGATATCGGCGCTCCTTTATTCTCGGGGTTGGAGAATATTTCGTTGCTTTTCGAGGGAGTTTCACCGATAGCCGAACCGGCCGGTTCTTCATACGACCGCAACCACATTGTACCCATGCCGTCTTCAACCACAACTAATACTACGTTCAGACTGAGTGGCTCCGGTTACGCTTCTCCTGTGGCGGCAATGCCGAAAAGTGGGAAAGAAGAAATGAGGTCATCACCTGAGAGCGTTGGTCCTGCACCAGCGAAACCGAAGCAATCGAAAAGCAGAAATGGTAAGCACAGACACCGCCCTTACGCAGTTCGACAGAGGAGGATGAGCCCACCAATCTGTGTCTGGGGGAGTGATGGAATTTACACCATTGTTGGAATACTGATCTTGTATCGATAGGATGCGTTACATGTAAGGCTAAGAGATTGAAGTGCGACGAATCTAAGCCTACCTGCCACCAATGTGCGTAGAACCTTATCGGTGATTCCTGAGCATTTTGGGCCTTGGCTCTTGGCCTGGTTTGGGAGTTAAGAATGGGCGGTCACTGACAAATGGGCTATAGGTCAAAAGCGCGGGGTGCCCTGCGGGGGTTACAAGAAAGATTTTAAATGGAGACCCTTCGAAGAAGCTAGTCTGGGAAAGGCACCCAAACCTCCACGCAAAAGTACAGTTATCATCCACTATCGCTTACCAGCCGGTAGCTGACCATGTCTAGGTCTGGGAGCGTCAAAACCGAAGAGATCTTCTCCCCCGCTATCTAGTCCAGAAGCATCTATCACCACATCTCCCGCGGCGCCTATCGGGGCTCCCCAACCCTCACCTCTAGAATCTAGCTTCGGCTCCCCATCTGCACACTCACAATATGGGTCTTCACAGGATACACCATGTATGCGTGAGCAGCGTTCATCTATATCTCCAAGCGGTTTCGATTTAGATTCGGCGTTCTTGCTACCCCTGGACTCCCCGGGTCACATAACATCGCTGTCGACCCAGGCTCAGCCGGGCCTTCTCGGGTCGCAACATCCAGGGGCCTTTGCCCTCACTAGCACGTCAGACCTAGCGCCCGCTTCCCCGGATGATAGGAATGGTGTGCTTGGCGTATCAGCCGAATCCGATGGGGGCACGCCGGATGCCGCGGGCTCGCTCGCCCCTATGAATGGCTTGGTTCCGATCACTTCCGCACCAATGCACCAGCTCATAGGTGTTCCATCGTTTGGATATTCAGGGCCATTTTATTCCCCCACAGTCGATACGATCCCAGCAATTGTGAAAGAGGAGCTGGAAGAGGATGACGAGATTGAGGAAGTCATCCGTTCAGGCCCAAATTCACAGTCCGACTGGGTGGTCCCCATACTCCCAACTGCTTCTGCCAATTCATCAAGATCTAGATCTTCACGTGGGGGAGCATTTGTCAGCGCGAACGACATATTCCGTCGACCAGCAGTCACGGCAGGTAGCCAAGAAATGCTTGTACTGCACTTCGACAAGAACACATGTGGCATAATGTCGGTCAAGGATGGCCCCAACGAGAATCCGTGGAGAACCCTCATTTGGCCCCTTGCACGGGATTCACCAGCCCTCTATCATGCGATCGCATCCATGACAGCTTTCCACATGTCTGGAGGCAAGCCGGAACTTAGAGTGCAAGGGATGGAACATATGCGTCGCTCGATCCGCTGCTTGGCCGATGACATTGACATACGCAGCGGTGATAACTGGAACGAGGCGGCACTCGCGACTACCCTAGTGCTTGCATTTTCCGAAGCGTTTGATCGACACACATCCACTGGGATAGAGCATTTGAGAGGGGCTAAGATTCTCGTCAAACAGGCCCTGGTAAAGCAAAGCACTGATGAGGTTGCCCACAGGAGATTGGGGTTCTTGTACAATGTTTGGGTTTATCTTGATGTTCTCGCCCGTCTTACCTCCGATGAAGATGAAGATGATCAGGGACCTGGATTCGCGTTGAATAGGCCCTTAACACCTATTAGTGAGGTTGACCCGTTGTTGGGTTGCGCGGCCACCCTCTTCCCTTTGATTGGAAGGGTCGCGGGTCTTGTTCAAAAGGTCCGCGGGACCGACCGGAATACATATGACATTATCAGCCATGGTATGAGGATTAAGCATCTACTCGAGCGGTGGGCCCCTGAGCCTTACTACGATCCTCCAGAGGATAGTTCTAGCGATGTTGTGCATTGTGTCAAGACCGCAGAGGCATACCGTTACGCCACGCTTTTATATCTCCATCAGGCCGTCCCGGAGCTCCCGTCTCTGGGCTCTCATGAGCTTGCGCGGAGGGTAATGCAGTTGCTTGCTGAAATCCCCATGACCTCTCGGAGTTGCATAGTGCATATATATCCTCTTCTCGTTGCTGGCTGCGAAGCGATAACCGAACGGGAAAGATCCTGGGTCAAGGGCCGTTGGGAGGACATGTGCTCGAGGTTGTGGATCGGCAACGTATCAAAAGCTTGGGAGGTTATGAAGGAGGTCTGGGTGCGTAGAGATAGATTCTGGGAATCACAGGAAGCCCTTCAGCGATATTCCCTATCTCCGACTGGCACGCGGTTCTGTTCTCCAACATTGGATGCTCCAGTATATAAGGGCACAGTAAGTCCTGTGGGATCTGGGATGGAGGAGGTGTACGGATGGGGAGGAGCTACCTTGGGCGAGGATAGAGACATTGAACCTCAGAGACGAACCATGATTGATGATTCCTCTGGGGGGCCGGGTGTGGCGGGCGGGAATACTCCCTCGAGCATACTTGCGGAGCATGAGATGTCGGTGAAGGGGAATCTGCACTGGGTTGGCGTCATGAGGGACTGGAAGTGGGAAGGTGAACACCCCGAGCAAAACGTCCGCCAAAATTTGCTCACTGCTAACCTTTGGTAAATGGTAGTCCTCCTTGGTTGAAACAATTCCTTGTACATTGGCCTCCGGGGCACCGCGTTTTTCGTTTTCATATATAGTCCCTATAATCACCCCTATGCCGTTTTTCACCTCTATTGGTTTGATTTCGTTTGGTCGGAGAAGGCGCATGTCGGCTTTGGGTTTTATTTCCGTCTTATTTTGTCTGTTGGCCCGATTGGGTTGTGTTAGCCGCCGTGACTTGATTTCATAGGTTTGTTTTATTAGCGATTTTTATTTTATTTTTTATCGCTTGTTATCTTTTCATTTTTTCCCATTTTTTCATCCTTTCCGGTCTGGGGGAATAAAAAATTGTTTGTATTGCGTTTGTTTTATCGCTTTATTGCTGGTTTCTTGTTGAAATTTCGACACTTTTTGGTGCTCTTGGTATAGGGGAGGGAGCAAGGAAGGGGAGAAAGTAGGAGAAGGGAGAGGAGGAGGGAGAGGGATGAAGAATGGGAGGAATGAACAATCACTGGGGGGAAAAAAGAAAAGGGGAGCCAAAACTCTATATAAGTGCTAGTGGTGTATGAGTGCACTTCTCTTTAACAAAATTACTCTTGTCTTCTCATTAACTTGTCCACCTGTCGTAACTTAAAATTGCCGTACTTTTTAGCGCTAAACGTATTGTGGGGGGAGTGGTCAAAGAGGGGAAAGAAGTCCACTTCTCTTTTTTCCTTTCTTTCTTTCTTTTTTTTCCTTCCATTTCCCCTCATCCTCCTGCCGGTATTTATTCGTCCAGTCTCCGTTGATGGTGGGACGAGCGTATGATTAATTATTATGATATGAGTGTCGTGTTCTTTTTGTCAATTCGACGTAGGCACGGTGTGCACTGTGCAGTACCATACGGTACGGTACCGGTGGTATCAATCGTGCTGACCGAGCCGGGCACGGCATCCAAACCAACAAGTTCCATCGCGATTCCTCACCGGTGCTTCGTATCGTATTCTTCCCACCCTATTCGCGCCACGTCGTTCAGTCAATTAGTGCGCATTGGTGTTTGTTTGCTCAACTGGTGGTTGAGTGCCGTACGGCGTGCGGTACTAGAAGACTACTAGACAGAGGGGTAGACGGTCTAGTCTACCGACACCGGCACTGGAGAGAGATGGGAGGAGGGGGGGGGGGGGGGAAGAAAGAGATATCCAGGAACGGATATATTGTCCCGACTATTTTTTTTTTGGCGCTCGTCGGGAATATTTATACAGAATGGGTAAGGTGGTCCGGGATGGGTTGGGCTCGTTTGTTGGTTAGCTTATCGATAAGGTGGATGGATGGAAGATCCGGATGGTGCTAGTAAATACCGGTACCGGTACCGGTACCGCGCTGTGCCTTGCTCGGCTAGGTTAAGTGCGGGCTGGTATCGTACTGTATGTCGTACTTGTGGTGCCGGTGGTGCCGGGGTGGTTTGTGGGGAGTGTACGGGTATATATCATTTGGATCTATCTAGGCTGGTCTGATATACGAGTTCGAGTGCTGTACGTATCATAGCTTGGGTATAGTGCGATAGGGCTTTTGTGGGGGATTGGTTGGGATTTATGTATCGTGTCATGCTGGTGTGTTGATGGGGTGGGTTTATTGGGATTGGAGCGTACTCGTACAGTAGAGTTTAATATAAGTACTCTTACAAGTACCGTACTAAGAAACCCACTATCGGTCGATGCTTGTACGGTCCGGTAGGATATTGACAAACAGACTACATGTAATACTCGTCGATAGACCAGTATAAATACCCCCCCCCTCTCCCCCACCTCCTCCCACCTCCCGCCACCACCAGAGTGCCAATGCACCACCCCTCCCCAGCCTAACGAGCCCTCACACTCGCTCCGGTAGCGGGCCCTAGCGCCTGCTGTATGTGGAAGAAATCTCCAGTATGATACCTCCCCCGAGACCGGCTCGCCAATATCCTGCGGCCTCTAAGGCCTCGACAATGGTCCGCCGCTGGTGTACATGCACAGTACACTTGCGGAGAGATGAAGATGATGATCGAGGGCGAGTTCGAGATTAGAGATGAGATGGGGAGAAGAAGGTTGCTACGAGGCCCGAGGATGGTTTTTTTTTTTTTTTGGAAAAGATAAGAAAATTCAGTGTCTGGTCACCTTCCCTATTTGTCGCTACATATGATCGAACCTGCTGTTCTGCTACGAGCACGGGATATGTCACCTCTCACAGGTTAAGTCTTATGGAAGACGTACTGTATCAAAGGGCAACTTATGACACAACGTGATCTCGTAATATAAATTTAGCGGTAAACCCGAACCAACACAATCCAAAACAGGATCTTTTTTTTCCCCTTCAAAAAGGCTGGAGTAAATATGACAGAAGTAGTAATTACATTCCACCAGAGTCTAGACTACAGTGTTGGTACAAGTGCAGACCACCCCGACCCCATGGTGGAATTTAAACCATCCCAGCTTAATTAATCTCTTCCGGACTGCACTGGAGGGCTCAATCGAGTGATATTATACAAACCGCATCCAGCTTAATAATCTATCAACCATTCCCCCCCCCCAACCTTTTTTTGTCACAAGGTAATTGGAATAAATCGTCTGAATATGGAACCGCCCCATCACTTATCGTGAACCGTCGTATGTATTCACACTCTGGAGCTTAATCCCGGACTGGACCAGTCGTTCCAGTGAGGTATGAAGATTCACATATCGACACGCACACAGTACTTGCTAACCGCGTTTGGAACCACTATCTATCGTTACCCATCCACGCCGTTGATTCCGCCAATAATGGGGTTTATCTTTAGCGGCATAGTTGGTGAAGGGATTCAGCAGTATCGGGGACTACGGGTGGTGATGGTCTGTTTGTTTTCGATAGGACTAACTGAATGCCTGCTGCGGGCGATGGATGGTGCTGTAAATGCGAGAGCAGGTTTCACGCTACAAAAAAGGAAGGAAGGAAGGAAGGAAGGAAGATTGGAACGTACGAGCACAGTTACTGTTGTATCATACTTGTGCAACCGGTCATGTGTCCGGCGGGTGCGGGTGCACAAGTCTGAGTCGCGTTTGAGCTACGGTAGGGGGTCTATCTATCTATCTATCCATCCATCCACCATGCCATTGGTATGATGGTGGGGGTTGGCCGTGGTACGGTAATCATGTGTTTGCGTTTATGCACCCCCTCCCCCTATGACGTCTGGAAAAGAATAAAGTTTGGTATCACGTGAGCGAGTGACTACCTATGAACAATCTTGACGATTTCGACGTGGTGTGGCTGTGAGCCTATTTGGCAGGGGGGGGGGGGATTGTTCCTGGTCTTTGAGATTATGGGTTTATTATATTGAATGGAGGGGATTCGTTTGGGTTAGCTCTAACTTACTCCCTATTCGTCCTTTTAACCTTTTTTTTTGGTTTTTTTTACCCTTATAGATATGGTATATCTAACGTGCGGTCGTTGGGATACTAATTGCGGATTGTAAGGCGTTGTGCCCTCTTGGCAGCCCTGGATATCCGGCATGGGGTAGTGGGGGTTGGGGGTAGTGCTCGTGGAGCACGACTCGGGGTTCTTGGGAAATCAGTCTTTATTGATGTGGATATCCTGTTGTTTGATGGGTGGTGGAGGGAGGTTGTGAAGGGAGCAGCCTTGCATAAGATAGAATTCTGTGCAAGGCTGTTGGTTCTGATGATACACTATCGGGGCGGTGTTATGGAATATTTTGAGGGGTATTCCTTTTCCGATATCTGGTGGGGGTTTACGGAGCGGGGCCACGTCACTAGACATGCTGTTCTAGGGATTCCAAGCCGGTTACTATCCAGGGTGAACTATTCTGATCCACAGTTGCTTTGGTAACTTTATATATTGTTTATGCCAGCGTTTCCTGCGATATGCAGCAGCTGGGTTGTGACTGGCCCTACCATACATTCTCACTTGTGGGAAGAAGGTAGATGGTCCATCAAAAATGGAAAATGGTATAAGTTGCGCAATTTCGATGAAATATTACAGAGGGTTGAGCAGGGTTTAGGTTGAGTTGGGTTGAGAGATAAATTGTAGGAAGAGAAAGAAAGCAGGAAGAAGACGGCAGAGATATTCAAAATCGTGTCAGCTTGTGAAATGTTGTGCCGCACTGGAGATACTGAGTTTATGATATTATACTCTTATGGTTGATACTTGGTAAAGTTAAAATGGCACCTAGGAAATGTTTTAAAAGGCACTGGGGGGAGAAATGTTGCTGGAGATTTAATCTGACAGGGTCCGCGCTAGCTGGGTCTGCTTCCAGAGAGGAGGGTTTTCTAGTTGGAAGTGCAATATCCATGTTCAAGTTGTAAGCCATTTGCTGTGAGTCTCTAGGATTTCTTGGGTTGGTCTGGGGGTGGTTACTGGACATTAGAGTTGGCTTGCCGCTAGGATATAATACTATAAGATATGCAAACTGGTCCGGTGTTATACCCTGTACTTAGTTACAAATTGAAACATAGGACACGATAGCACTAATCAAGTGATGCGATACTTGTTTACCACAGAGCGGGTGGAATCCGGAATTTTGATCATTCTGTGGCCGAACACGGTATGGCATTCTGAAACTCAAGTTTGAGTTTGGTGAGTGGTATATTCTATATAGGACCCGAAGCGGGTGTGTGTGTGCATAGACCGAATCACTTGATGTAATAGTGGATTAAACAGAGGTTCATGGATAGTTTTGGAGAGGAAGGTGGTTAAGATCGAGAGTTGCGAATGCTCATGTCTTGGGTGTGCTAGGGTTTTTTCTTTTCCTCGGAAAGGAGCAGAGGACAACTTCAGTTAACCCTTCCCAAAAATGTGCCATAGGGCATCTGGTGTTTCCAGCCAGCTGTAACCTACTGTCTATGAGAGCTATCACAAGCCTGAAAACCATTCCTCAATATTTTGTATTGGATTTTCCGGCGGATATATCCCGCTATCCGAGCAGTCGTAAGATCCTCGCCGTGTCCATATCTCCCTGAAAAGTGTCCTTTATATCACAAAAGACTCTATGGAAGAAAAAAGGCTTCTACATCGTACTTTGCAAGATATTCACCCTGTTATGTACTGATAATCTTTGGTTGGTATTCTACCCGCTGGAAGTGGGATCGCTGAGTGATAGCACACATTAGCGGATCCAAGAGACAGAGAGGGTTTAAAAACCCCCGTATATAGGGTGTGTGTGGGGAAAACGCGCTGCATGCACACAAGGCTCCATCTGTGCATAAATCTTTTGGGGGGAAGCTTATCTGAGACTTGATTATATATAGCCGAGATATGCGTCTAAAGGTTGAGGCGCTGGGCTTGAATATGGTGGGGCTGAATATTGAGCATAGCCTGGAACCTCACTGCTCTCTACGCCCTTGACGTGGCTGATAAAAATTGCAGGATAGTAGTCGTGGGCTAAGCCCCTGCGGCTGCTCCGACTTTGCGAGTGACAATACATGATTACAGAATCCTCACTTCCGGAAAACTGGATATGATAGTAGCTAGATAAGCCTTTTCTCTCCGGTTTGCCGCCGGGTATATTAGCTATCGTATTTGGAGCCGTCGGTGTTAGGGGCTGTAGGATCTATTTTGTGTTCGCTTTCTGTATGAGGGAGCGCCATGTCTGAGTGCGGGGCAGTGCCGGTGTGATAGTATCGAGGGGTGCAGGACGATTTGTGCATGTCCCTCACCGGTATCTGAACGAGGGTATGAATAGCGCACTGAAGCACGGAGGGGAGGGGGTATTTTCGGCTGGTAGTAATAACACAGCGAAGCCTTGTAGGTAGATATTTTATCTGCGCCATCCATATGTAGGGAGAGGGGCTAGAAGGATACAGGGCCATTTCCATGTTAAACATACTATCCTGCTGTATAAGTTAGCTGCCGCACCCAAAACGTGAAGACACTATCGTGTCCCGCACCTTTGGAATCAAGCTTGGTTATGATACGGGGCTGCTGTTCTGAAAATCTGTTCAAGGTTGCTATCATACAAACAAAAACGATCATTTCTATCTTGAAACTCCTCCGTCGGCCACCACACCGGCCCTGACCGAACAACTAGTACCCACTAGTCACCGCCCACCGAGCTACGGAAACGGCCACTTTTTTCAAAATAATCTATAGTGTCTCATTCGGCCGAACAGAAGGTAGAGATAAATACATCCCCCCCTCACCCTTCCTCTTCCTAAATGCTGACCTTTTTCTAGCCTGGACCCATATTCACGTTTTAAATTCATCTTAGATTCCGCCTCCCCCATCGGGATAATTGCCAACAATGCATCAGGTGCTCTTTCTGCTTCCACCAGCTTTTTATCTGGTCTCTGGCCTTGCGGTGCCAGATGGCGCACTCCATCCAAACGTCTCTACCGTAGCAACAATGGCCCACTACCCTGAAGCCGCTAAGGCGGCCGAAAAGCCCGTGCAGGAGGACGAATCTAGTGGACTAAACCACAACATTCGCATATTCCTGATAATCTTCGGGACGATCGCCGGGCTCATGTGTTTGGGCGTCGCTCTCCTCTTCACGCACGCCCTCGTGGAGAAGCGCCGCTTCGGCAGGGGGAAGAAGAATATCGGGGGGGAAATGACGTTGACCAGGTTGCCGGGAGATAGGAGGGGCAGCGCGGATAGTGATATCTGGGGGTTGAACCGTAATCGACAGGATCTTGGGGCTGCTGCTGTTGTACCGGAGAAGGGCTCTGGGTCTTGGAGGGAGGGAGTGGTCCCGCCGACAGGGCACCTTTATCAGGAGGTTCTGAAGGAGGAGGCCGGAAGGAAATATACTAGTTATATCATACCTACCATGCGCCCCAGTATTTAGGGCATAATTCGCGTGCTTTAGAGGAGGGGTATGCGCCATACGAAGGACGGTCAAACAAACGGGACTCTGGGGGAAGTGTGAGGAGTGTGGGCGAGCACGGGAACCCAGTTATGCCGGTGAATGTTATTTGAGGGGTTTCGGGTCGGCATCTCTCTTTTTTGCATTTTTTCTATTCCTTTTCGGGATATATGCATCCCCCTGATGTGCGGTTTTGCGGAGGAAGGGGAAAGCCCCTTCGTTCATAGCAGAGCTTTCTTCTTTTCTTTTGTAAGTACATGAGTGTTTCTGGGCAGCCGGAGTTTTGCGCAGTTGGGGGGTGGGCTCGTTTGCGAGTCCGGGAATTATGATAACTATTCTGTAAATGACCTTGGGGTAAATATTTAGGGGCTGATATCAGGGCATTCCACCGGGTCCCTTGCGCTTGCTCTGGTTAGCATTCTCATGTGGCATCACTCGATGTAGGGTCCGAACCAACTGTTGTGATATCGCTGGGGTTGTTAGGGACTTCCTGATAACCACATGCAAGAAGCAGTCTCGACGAATGTGAGGAGATGCGAGGAATGGTATGGATTGGAAAGAATGTAGCCACCAGATAGATATCTGGTTGTGGGTTAGATTGGAATGAGGACGAGGAATGGTATGGATTGGAAGGAATGGAGCCACTAGGTGGATATCTGGTCGGTTGGATTTTCTATAGTATATAGTGGTCATCTACTTTGGCGATAGGAAGGGAATCAAGTTAAGAAAACGGTTCACAACTCTTGCTCACTCAAACGATCATATCCTCCCCCGCAATAGTACCTAACTGAATTCTCCTCTTTACTCCACCTAAACTCCCTTTTCTACTTCACCAACGCTCAAGATGTCAGTATACTGGACAAGTACACAGCGTGCGGTAGATAAACTTAGCATACGGTTCAGCGCTGTCACTTTCTCCAGGCTTTCCGTACGTTATCAGCCAGGCCGGTATAAGAAACACTTTGGACACCAATGGAGATGCATGAGAGGGGAAATGTTTACACATGGCCTACGGAGAAGGACAAGGAAGCCCGATTTAGGATTTTAAATTCACAATTAACCCCTGGGATTGTGTATAAGAATGTTCTGAATGCAATTCGGCTCCTCCTCAGTAGTGTCTTCCTGCACACGGTCCTCCTCGTGTGCTGCCAGAGCCTCGTATTTAAGTATTTTGTCCAACCATCCTCTAATCTCTGCAGATGTTGGCAGTCCGAGTCCCGTTGTAAGGAGGCTTTGGTTTGTCACTTTCTGCGGGGGCGGGGACGGCGGTGCCCGGCCTCGGATTTGTGGGGTGAGATACTGTTTTCTGGTATTGTGACTTACGGATGCGATTTACGGTAGGTATCTATTGCTTATAATGTGGTAACTTGGGGTGTTATTCGAACACTACGCTAGACGATTTTTGTGATCCCTGTGGTTCCGGGGAAGCTGCTCGGGGGATTTTCTCCAGATCTTACAATATCCGCACCTTTAAACTTGAGCCTCACTTTCTGAATACTGGACCATTGCTGGTGCTACCGGTATGATACAGTATTCATCCTTTTTGGTTAGAAGATTGCCGTAAGGGGTAATATGATATGAAGATTAGAAACGGCGCTCCTCGGCTTGGATACCGATAGTGTGGTAACGGGTTATCGTCGGCACGCCAACACGGCCAATCCAGAGATCGGAAAGCTACCGTATTCTTCAGCCTCCTTCCCCTTCTCTTTTTCACCATCCTCCTCCTCCCCTTCCTCTTTTTCCTCCTCACTGCACACCTTCCCTCCTTGACGCCCCCTCCTCTCCCCCTTCTCACCTTTCTGACGGGCTTGCCAAGACGATGTTATTTTTTGCTCGCCATACCACCCGAGCTGCACTTCCCCGCACACTTTCCCGCCGCACTGCTGCTATCCGAGTAGCTTCGACACCGCTTCTCCGCAATCAATTGAACCCCGTATTGAAGATCAGGCAATTCTCTGTTATGAGTTCGAGTATGATGTCTGCCCCTGCTTCGATTGTGAAGCAGAATGTTCGCCCAGAGCCTGACCAGGTTCTCCAGGACATTGCCGATTACGTCCACAACTATGAGATCACTTCCCGACTTGCTGTATGTGTGTTTGCTCCCTCAGTTAGCTCACAGAGACTGACAATTTTTAGTGGGAGACCGCTCGATTGTGTTTGATTGATACCCTGGGATGCGGATTGGAGGCATTGAACTTCGAGCAGTGCACAAACTTGCTGGGTCCTGTTGTGGAAGGTTTGATGGTCCCACAGCGGGTGTTTCCTTTTTCTTTTCCTCAGGCTCTAATTGTTGCAGGGACCACTGTACCGAATGGAACCCGTGTTCCCGGCACCCCTTACCAACTCGACCCCATCCGCGGAGCGTTTAACATTGGTACCGCGATCCGTTGGTTGGACTATAACGACTGCTGGCTGGCCGCAGAATGGGGCCATCCTTCAGATAACCTTGGCGGTATTCTCGCGGTTGCGGATTGGCTTGCGAGAACAAACAAAGCAAAAGGGCTGTCGGCACCCAAGGTTAAGGATGTCTTGGAGGCTATGGTCAAGGCTCACGAAATCCAGGGGTGCCTTGCTCTCGAGAACTCATTCAACCGAGTCGGTTTGGATCACGTTGTTCTCGTCAAGGTTGCTACTACGGCTGTAGTTTCTAAGATGCTCGGATTGAATCGCGAGCAGACTATCGATGCTGTTTCACAGGCGTGGGTTGATGGCCAGTCTCTCCGTACCTACCGTCACGTGCCCAACACCATGTCACGTAAATCATGGGCTGCCGGAGATGCTTGCTCACGTGCTGTTAACCTTGCTCTTCTCGTCAAGAGCGGTGTTGGCGGTATCCCATCCGTTTTGACCGCCAAGACGTGGGGCTTTTACGACGTTCTCTTTAAGAGTCAGGGTTTCAAATTCCAGCGTCCATACGGCTCGTATGTTATGGAGAATGTTCTTTTCAAGATCTCGTATCCAGCCGAATTCCACTCCCAGACTGCTTGTGAAGCTGCCATGACTCTCCATCACGAGCTCAAGAAGATTGGAAAGACCACCGATGACATTGCTTCCATCCGCATTAGGACGCAAGAGGCTGCCATCAGAATTATTGACAAGAAGGGACCTTTAAACAATTATGCTGACCGTGATCACTGCATCCAATACATGGTCGCTGTTCCGCTCATATACGGCCGCCTCACCACACAGGACTACTCTGACGAAGTAGCATCAGACCCCCGCATTGACGCCCTCCGCGAAAAGATGGAATGCGTTGAGGACAAGACCTACTCCTTGGAATATCACGCACCTGACAAGCGTAGCATCGGAAATGCTATCCAAATCACACTCAAGGATGGCACGGTTATGGACGAGGTCGCGGTCGAGTACCCTGTGGGACACAAACTCCGCCGTGACGAGGGTATCCCATTGCTGCTAGAGAAGTTTGAGAGACATGTTACCAAGCGTCTTGGAAAGGAGAGGTTTGATGCCATCATGGGTGCTTCTAAGGAGCTTGATGGAATTTCTGAGAAGGATGTTGATGAATATGTCGATTTATATGTTACTAAGGAATAAGTAGAATGTGTCTTTCGTTGGATACAGGTTAGGGGGAGGGGAGAAGTAAAGCATGCTTTTCGAGAGTAGACTTCGCGTACAGTACAATTCCCTTTCAATTAGGATTAACAAATCATCCATTGTGTCCCTGACGTCTCCTAGGCGATATCTTGTAGCCATGCAGTGATTTCAAACTCAAAGTAACATCCCTCAAAGGTCCACCACTGGTAGAACGGAAAGCGCTAGGTTTCTATAAACTCCAAGTAGATGGTCACTGCCAATCACTCGTTAAGGGAGAACTGATCACCGCGGCCATCTCGACATGGACCATCACCTCCGCCCGGCCCACCTTAAAAGATGTTTCTCTAACTAACAACCTTTCTCTCCTCCCCAGCTTTAACCATCCCCTTGGCTACCTCAATCAAAACCTTCCTCCCGGTCTCAACCCCAAAAGGCTCCGCCAGTGGCGGAACATGCATAAACAGCACCTTCTCACTTTTCAACTTGCCATTCCCCTCCTTCTCGCAGGCCGCCTTAAGGCTAGTGTAGTAGATAAACTCGCACAGGAACCTACCCGCATCGTCGGAAACTTTGATGGGCAATTCCTTACCGGGCGTCTCCTCGGGCTGCGTCGGGAGCAATTTCCGCACAATCAGCCCTCACCATTCTTTCATACCTCCCGCCCTCCCTCCGATGGTATGAGCAAACAAACCTCAAATTTCTCCACCCCCTCCACAACCCACTGGAGATCCAGCGCACACCCAAACTCCCTACCACCCGGCTCCCGCCGCTCCTCTCCCTCACTGTGCATAATCCCCCTCTCAGGCGCAGCGTCCGCCCCGCCGGGCACCTTCCCGTCCACGTCGCCGAACACGTACCCGTCCTCGAACGCGCGCCTCTCGAGGTGGTATCCGCCCGCTTTTCCGAGGCCTACGTGGAGGATGTAGTCGAATTCATTATCCGTGGCGGTGTGAAGGGGCGGGATCTCGGAGGTCACGGTGGCATAGGCGACTTTTAGCCAGTGCGGGTGTGGCTGCAGCGTTATTGCGTGCGTTTCTGTGTGGATTGTTGTGTGCGGTAGGAAGCTGGATGTTATTGCCCAGGAGGAGTTTTGGGTGTGTCTTCTGAAGGGCTGGGAGTGGGGGGTTAGCTTTTGGTTCTTTCAGGGAAGAGTAGGGGAGAGAGAGGGAGGGGGAGGACTCCGAAGCCGGTTAGGTAGATGGTTATGTCCTTTTTGGGAGGTTGGTCGGTCATTATTTGGTGACTGTAGGGTTGCTTGTGTTGGTTGGTGGGCGGTATTTTGGCGGGGGTGGAGGGAGAAACGATGCGGGGAAATTGTCGTGAGTGATATTCCGGGTAAGGGGGTAGATTACCGTGGAGTGTGCACTTGTGTGGGCGGCACTGGCGCAGTACTCGGGTGCTATTGCACCATCTCACAAGATCCGACAGGGCTGCGATTCATGCAGATTGAGAGCACAGATTCCTTATCACGATATGACCCTCGATTGACTTTAGAGCTTTCGCTTGGCTGGGGTTTCACAGCGGTCATTTCTCTAGCGCCCCGGTGCTCCCACATCATTTGGTGCGCGGTGCAAGCAAGCATTCAAGCTAGACTATTCTTTCTGCCAATATTTCGGCAGAAACATAAATTTACTGCACCAGCTTTCCTGTCAAGTATTACACCTCCAACTTCGTATAATATTTGTACCAGAGCTATTCAAAGTTGGAAACATGGCAAGAACAGCCTACTTGGCCGTTCCATGTAAAATGGGCAGGCACATGAATGGCTAACTTACTGTTACTTAACTTTACTTTGCCATTTTTTCTTCCTGTCTCATGGATATGGACGAATGGAGGTCCGTAACTGGTACTTATACTGTACTGCACTCTACACGACTCAGTTTAATACAGCTTTGGTATGATATGATACCAGATCCCTGGAATGACGCACGAAGTGAAAAGAATTTTTTTGGGATTGAAAATAAACTCTGAGAGATGTTGTGGTATCACTTTTTAGAAATATTTATGCACTCTCACTGGGGGAAAAAAAATACCCTGTCATACCTTTTAACCAATACGGTACAGGGTTCTCGTAAGCCCTGCAAGATCCCTCATAACCCCTGTATCGCACGGTAGGGTTACTGTAGTCTACTCGAGTACAGTACCTTGCGCCACAGTGAAAACGTTCAATCAAACACGATACCTCGAACATGAGGGAGGACGCTACGTTCCTGGGGGGAAAAAAAAAAATCATTTTTTTAACTTTGAATACCGATAACTTGGCGCATTTTCCCATTGCCCGGGGTGCCGCTATCTATCTACTAGTACCTGGCGAACCTTCCGAGGCACAGATAGTCCGGTAACGTAAAGATCCCTGCTCGCTATTAGAATTTGAACCTGCGGTATAATAGTATTGGACGACCGGATGCTGGCCGAGAGCTTCGGGGTCGGGGTATTCTTCGAGTAATGTCACCGTGCGCAAGGGGAAGTGCGACCTATCAACTTGGTGGGCTATCGTTTTTTTTTTTTTACGACACCGGGACCCGTCGCGTGTTTGTGCTAGTGCAAAGACATGAAGAAGAAGAAGAAGAAGAAGAAGCTATCGTAGATTACTGTGTGGGCTCAGGAATAATTGCCGTTCAGTCGGTCCATGGCCTTGCGATGGGCGACTAACTGCTCAGTGGAAGGACAAGAGAGGTGTGAAGTACCGTAGATGGATAGCTGTTTGTTTCCAGAAGATTGGTCAAGAAGAAAAAGAAAAAGAAAAAAAACGGCTATGATGTCGTACTATGCACAGTGATATACTCGGGCCATACAGATTATCCCAATCCCCCCCTCCCACCCCTGCTCTCCCGATATGAATCACGGACCGGTGTGACAAACATTCCCTGCGATAACCACCCGACAATGCAGGGGCTAGGCAAGATATTGGATGAATTTGTGGAACAAAGAGGCGTACTGTACAGTATCTCTGGAGGTATCTCATGCGGTGCGTCTCCTCCGTGCCCTATAGGTCACCCTCTGTCACGCGTGGTCACCGCCGGGCTATCAGGCGAGGGCATGCGTTGGGAGGCCATCTTGTATTATAATGGGGAGTGAACAGGTCCATCTCATTTCGAGTAAAACCTTCAATGTCCTCGCTGAGGCTCTCGGATAGGGTTCCTGACTCGGACTTCTCGTCTTTTTGGCTATCATGCAAATGGCTTGGTTCGGTGTCCGGCCATGACTGTGAAATTTGGACAATTAGAGTTCGGTTAATGGGGGGGGGGGTTATGGCTCTATGAGAACATCAGTTACGCAAGAAATATTCATGGCAATGTTGGCATGCCTTGGGTTTTGGGGTTAATCTTGCGGGAGTAGTAGTCTATACCTCGATAGTTTATCATGGCCAAGAGGTAATTTTACATTATTTTTAATTTGAATTCCCTCCTAACTTTGGATTCGCAAGGGTAAGGGATCACTGGGTATCACTCGTGTCAGAGTCGGACATTCAGAGTTGGTAGGCGTTGGGCTTAACTCCGGTAGGTGAAACGGGGCGCCGGGAAATACCCAATAAATCTCTGTGCGCGCTGGAGCTCCCTGGGTAAGAAATAGGGCTGGTCCGCGGATCGGTGCCGGATTCCCATCTAGTTTCCGAAAGCGCGGAGCACGAGTGCTCTGGAACTTCCCCACACTAGGTGACTTGTAGAACTCACTGTTATTATAGGAAATAAATTCGATGGCGACTCCCTAGTTCAACGCAGTGTCGACCCCGTCGTATGCAGCCTTGGGAACTAAGTTATCGTCCCAGAGTAGAGGAGAACCGTAGCCGGGCATGGCCCTATCAACCCACGAGTCCTAGACTGTATCTTCAACATCTCGTAATCCTCTAAAGTGTTTGTGAAGGAGGAGGATCCCAATGACTTCCCCTATCGCTGACACCCCAAGTGGTGATACCGACGCATTTGGTAACGTTCAAGCAGGCCCCAATGATGGTGTAGTAGTCGCTACGCTGGCTGGTGAGCAAAGCGCTGGTGACGGGGGTTTCAATTCTGATATCTAATTCGGTGAGGGCGACGTCCAAGCCTGTGTCTGCCATTCGCTGCAATTGAGGTGTTACGTCTCCGACCTGGTTCACGATAAAGTGTCCCTGGGCACCGATACCGTCGATCGGGACGCCACTGGACTGAAGCCTGCCGACGAAGGAGAGGAGGGCGTCGATCTTCTTACTGGGGATTTCGAGGCGATAGTCGTTGATATATAGCTTTGCGCCCAGATCGGCATCCCTAGCAGCCCTGAAGGCGATGTGGATAAAGTTCTCGCCAAGTAGTTCGTAGAAAACACTGCTACGAAAGCTACCATCTTCCTTGAAGACCTCGTTCACAACATCCTATGGATTGGTCGGACTTGAAAGCATAGAAGCCACCGGTTGCAGCAGAGTTACTACCCATGCGTAGATCTGGCCCTTGTAACGGCCTACAACAGTGGCAATGTGATTTTGTATAACAGTAGTAAGGGTGGCAGCATCCGTGATATTTGAAACCCACGAAGGAAGCTGAGCATGCCAGACTGTATATCGCAAGAATAAGTACAGGTCTTGAAGCATTTGAACGAACAGATATTACCTAATGTGTGCCCACGAACCAGTTTGCCATTTCTGACTGCAAAGTCTACCAACTTGTCAGCGTTGCCAAAGCTGAAACTCCCACGAGAGGCTAGCCTTTATGTCAGCACTTATTGTCCCATTGAACATTTAAGATCTGCACTCACGTTCGATGGCATCCCACTTCATACTATTCTCGGGAGAAACAGATCCGAAATTGGCCTTCAGAATTGTCTGCACGTTGTTGTCGGAGAGGGTGTTGGGGTCTGCACAAGAGCCAAAGTACATCTTTCCCTTTTCCTTGATCTTCGCATCAAGGAGAGCTATGACCACCGGGGGGCCCAAGAAGAATAGAGCGACGAGCGGGATAGACTTCATGGTGAATACCGGGGGTAGGAAAGGGCTCCACGGATAGAGAGAGAGTGCTGTTGCTAGTTGAGGGGTTCCTGGAAAGGGAGCATGATGTCCTTTTTATACACGAGATTCTCCTTGGCAATTCTAACGAAATTCCTCTCGTATATACCATGCAGACAACTGGGGCCAAAAAAAAGCTACAAGCTGTTGCGGTCAGAGAACTACTCTACGATACGGTATCTCTCTCCAATGGCACAGCGCTGCGAGAGTTTCTCCAGGGGTTTCGATAATTATTTCCGCTGGACTCCAGGGTAAACATCCACTGGGCCAACTACTCCTCTAGTCACGGTGTTCCAAATTTGCCCGTTGAATGGACCTCTCATTTCGGGGTGGGCTCTGCCTTTGAGATTAACCCTCCAAAGCTCGTTGGGGAGGGTCTCACTCTACTATAGGGAGCGCTGGGTACTAGGCTATTTTTTGTTCGTTGTGTAGCAGAGATCCACCAAAGGGAAGTAGGGACGTACTCCCAGTGGGTGTAGGGGCTCCCTCTCCAAAGTTAGCCCAAAGTATCTAATTATTCTTCTGGGCTTAGAGAGCTACTACCTGAACCCAATTTTATACCACTACCGATAAGGTATTAGCTAAACAGAACCTTAGTTTTGTCCAGAGACAGTCCCAAGGCTTTCATTTGGTCCCTCATACTTCAATAATTCCCCTCCATACCGCTATTCGCTGACCCCGATTCCTTCTGTGGGCACTCTGATCACAGCTGAGCACTCGTTTTTCTTTAGAAAAAAGATCCTGCTCGAACACCTTTTCTGGAGTAGGGACAGGCCGAGCCGGACGCTCAGTTCCTTATTTATTCTTTCTACATTGGCAACTCGCTGCCCTCCCGGGGATACGGGGAAAGCTTAAATATTGAGTGCCGGATGTTCTTGGACGGAGATCTTCTGGAAACAGCGGTTTTCCAAGAGATGGTATCCAGGGCGGTGCTCCCGGGGAAAAGGCTTTCCAGTGGGGGTTTTTTTGTGGAATTCTGGGGGCTCTTATTGCAGATTTGACAATTTGCTTAGGGAGAATTGAGGTTAGCGCAGTTTGTGGTATGTGAGCAGAGTAGCGGGATTTGATCATTGTATGCACTCTTGCACTTGTTCCTGTCGCATGGTGGGACCGGGATCTGGCAGCCCATGTTTATTGTTTTTCAGTGGGTGTCCATTCAACAAGTATCCGGAAACCTCGACGCTTTTTGGAACTGACTTGCGCTAAGGTCTCCGGATACGCGTTGAATCACCAATTAAGGCGCTCTGCTGGCCAATTCCGAGGTACTGGTGTCCAGAGATCGTTCTGCCAAGACTCGCATGTTTGGGCATGGCTCTCAGAGGTTAGGCGTGCCGATACTTTTGAAATTGTCGAGTAAGGTCTAAGTACTATAATATCTTACCAAAGCATTTATTATCTGATGGCATGTGGAATTAGGGTTATTAAAGCTTCTCTAAGAAATTGAATAAATATTCTCTCCGCGATAGGAAGGGCTGCTCCACTCCCGCTAAGCGGATAGTCTTAAATGACGGTATCGGTTTCATAACAATGATCCTCATTTCAAATTCCATGAGCACCCCTACATCCATGTGCTAAACAGTCCACGCCCACTAGTGTTCGTCAATTAAAGGGAACATCTGTGTTTTCCCTAGCTCCAAATCCCAGTATCACCGGTTGAAAGCATTGTTCAATGGAGGCGGGACGGGTGGGCCCTCGGGGGTAACGTAGGCCTACATTTCGATCTTAGGGTATGCTTTGGAAGTAAAGGTGGGGCTGGATTTAAATACCTTAGTCATTCCTCCGTCCACCACCATTTCCTGGCCGGTTATGAAGCCGCTCTCGTCACTTGCTAGAAATACCACCATATGTGCTTGTTCGATTGCTTCCCCGAAACGGCCCATGGGGAAGTGGATTTCACGGCGAGCACGCTTTGCTTGATCTGCTCCGAGGAAATCCTGAAGGACTGTAGCACAAGCTTAGCTAAACTTCGATGCAATCAAGTATGCACACAGCACAGAATCCCGCCCAGAACTTACGGGGTGTATTAAGGGGGGCAGGGCAGAGAGAATTGAAGCGGAAGCCTATGCAAGAGATAAGGGTTAGTTTAGATTGTGGCTTGGTGATAAAGGATATATGAGACTGACCCTCCCGAGCATGGACCATGGCTAATTCACGAGTAAGTGCCAAAACTGCACCTTTGGAGGCGGTATATGCAACTTGCGCCGTAGCACTGCCAACCAGGGCCACGACGGACGCAGTATTGATGATAGACCCCTTGGTCTTCTTGTGCTTGCGGAACGACAAGACAGCATGTTTGCAACCGTACCAAACACCTTTGACCTAGATTGTCCTTGAGCCTGGATTTCTCCGAATCAGAAAGGGGAATAACAAACATTGATTTTGTGGGTGAGATCCCAAACATCCTCGGAGGTGGAGATAGCATCATCATCCTATATAATGAAGTCAGCTGTGGCCTTGACAAGAATTTTCACTTCCCTAATTCCGGGTGGGTTTGACTGACATCCTTGTGCATGATACCGGCATTGTTAAACATAACATCGACACCTCCCCATTCATCTGCTTCCGCAACCAGTGCCTTCACGTTTTCCTCGTTGCTAACGTCACATTTCTGCAATCCTCAGTCTTAGCTGCCTGAGCTAACACTCTGGGGGTGGGTTCGAACATACGAATATCTTGAACCTGGCTCCTGGAGCCAACTTCTCAATCTTTCGCTTGGCTGCCTGAAGTCCCTCGTCACGAAGATCGGCAAGAATGACGGAGCCACCATTGCGAGCAAAGAGAATGGCGGTCTCGAGACCAATACCACTATTTGTGTCCACCAAGTGAGCTTGTGTGATGGCTAAAATCTGACGAAAGTGTGCAATACCCAGCAGCACCCGTGATAATACAGGCTTTACCTTCGAGTCTTCCGGCGCCAGTATACATTTTCACGGAGAATTTCGAATGTTTGATGTGATTGTTCTTAAGAGCTTCGGGGTTGAGAGGGGGGAGTGAGGGTTGGAAGGGTGAAGAGGCTCCCGGCTGAGAGTTGGGAGGAGATGGCGAGGGGGGTAGGTTTGTACGAGATTCGAACTGCCGGTACTCGAGTACCGGTACCACTAGTGTCTGATCTGCGCTTACCAATTAAGGTCGTAGTGAGCAAACGTGAGGTGACTCTACGGTAAGAAATTCCTAAAGCGGCATGGGTTGCAGTGGTTATCGTGAATTTTTGTTCCCGTGCCCAATGAAATGAATGGGCCCACAGCAGATATAGTAGATTACACCCAGAATCATGATAGAGCCGACGGCAGCTTAATAACTTACTCGAGGACACAAGAGCTTGTCCCGGAAGCAAGCTCCAGGTCGGCTAGCTTGTGGTGATCTTCAGGTGCACGCCGAGATTACCTGGTTCGGGTGACATGTAGGAGAACTATTCAAGGCATGATGGTACGGGTAATCTACGGTGGTGGAGGCTATCGATGGAAGTGTAAGTTACCGCACCCTGCAACATATGATACAAGTAGCAGCGGTAAGATGGACCCTGGCCCTCCGATACCGGCGGGCTAGCACAGGGGTTTGTGCACAGTGAGTTAGATTTGCACCACGAGTTGGATGCGAAAGTGTGGCTGAATGGATTCTACGTGTGGCGTTTCTGTTTGGGTGCTGCAGGATACCGTAAGCCGCTGACGAATGTTCTTCGCTTACGGTGGCTTGGAGCCTGCTTGGGCAGAGTGCAGGAGGTGTGGGGTTGCCCTAGTCTACCAGTGAATCTCCTCAAGTGACCGCGCATCTCATGCAGCCTATCATCTCTTTTTACTTGTCAAAACATCTCTCCCGCCTGAGCCATTTCAGTGGTTATAGCAGATGACGAGCACAAGCCCGGCTACCAATCCTATGATGACTGATTCACATACCCTCGAGTCTATTGCCGCGGCCCTGCGCGAGGACGATAAGGTGAAACTTGCTGGGGTTGACGCGGATGGAATTCACCGAGGTAAATCCTATCCATAGTACTTTGGTTGGGTTAAGCTGACATGTCTTGCGGTCCCTTGCGCAAGGGAAACTGATTTCAAAAAAGAAGTTTCTTTCCATTGCCGAATCTGGATTCGGGTTCTGCTCCGTCATATTTGGCTGGGACATGCACGATAAATCGTACTTTCGCGAACTTGGCATTTCAAACTCCGCAAACGGATATCGGGATTTACTTGCGAAAGTTGACCTGCAGAGTTTCCGGAGAATACCGTGGGAGGATTCCACTGACTTCGCCGATCCGAAGGATCAGAGAGGTGTCCCATTCTTTCTCGTCAGTTTTCATGACCCGGATACCAAAGAGCCTATTGCACCGTGTCCCCGAGGACTGTTGTCTAGCGCGGTGAGAAAGGTTGAGGAGAAGGGCTGGAGCGCGATGGCTGGAGGTTTGTTATTCGATATTCTAGCACGATCCCAGATAGAAGGTTTGCTATCCAGTGAAACTAAAGCTTTTCTGTTCCAGCGGAATATGAGTTCTTTAATTTTAGAGAAGATCCCCATAGCCTTGATGCAAACAAAGGCTCGGCGTTAGAACATATGACACCGGGAATGTTTGGTTACTCTTTAACAAGACCTGTGCAGAACCAGGATTTCTATTACGGAGTTTTCAACGCTTGTACGTTTCCACCCTCGACTCCCATATTCGGGGAGTCAGTGGAAAGGCGTTCCCGCCACATGTTCAGATAAAAAAAATTAACCCACATCCGCTGGAAATAAATAGGCAAGAAGTTTAGGGTCGACATAGAGGGTTGGCATACCGAAACTGGACCAGGGGTTTACGAAGCTGCGCTAGAATTCGGGGAGGTCAGAGAGATGGCGGATAGGGCGGGACTATTCAAGTATGCTTGGACTTATTAACAGCACGCTCTTCGGTTCTGACTTTTGGTCTCGGTAGATACGTTGTAAAGTCCCTTGGTTCAAAATATGGAATAACTCCGTGCTTCATGGCGAAGCCCAAGGAGGGCTTACCGGGGAATTCAGGACATATGCACAGTACGTCATACACTATGCACAGCTCTTCTCTTTTTCGAATCGTTTGTTTAATCGCCTCCCTTTAGTATCACTTGTTGATAGCGATGGAAACAATCTTTTTGCTCGTTCGGAAAGTGATCCTGAAGCTGGCCGTGACCTAGCATATCTTTCGGATATTGGACGCTACTTTCTTGCCGGGGTTCTCGAAGGGCTTCCATCTGTAATGCCCCTCTTAGCTCCCACAGTCAACTCTTACAAGCGCCTTGTGGAAAACTATTGGGCACCAGTAACAGTGTCTTGGGGATTGGAACACCGCGCAGCTTCAATCCGGCTCATCTCGCCACCGCTTGCGCCTCCTAAAGCCACACGCTTTGAAATCCGTACCTGTGGAGCCGATGCCAACCCATATTACGTGCTTGCAGCTGTCCTTACAACAGGACTCCGTGGAGTAGAAAAAAGGCTAGAGATACCTGTATCCCCGTTGGGTATTGGGGAGGAGACCAGCGGTGGCGAGCGTCTCCCAAGGAATCTAATGGAGGCTGTAAACAAAATGACGGAGAAAAGGAGCGTTGCTAGAGAGGTATTTGGTGATGCGTTCGTGGATCACTACGCGGGGACAAGAGAGCATGAATGGAGGCTGTGGGAGGAAGCTGTTACTGATTGGGAAATCCGGAGATATATCGAAATGGTCTGAGGGGCCCAGGCGCAGTGTTGATTCACGGCTAATGGTGACCTTTGTGTTCCTATATCGAGCCTCGATACACATAGATACTCGTGGTCTATCAGCGAGTGTTATGCAGTGAGATTTCTCATTTTTCGCGGTGTTTCAATTTAACCCGTCAATAATCTTATAATAAAACCATCGAGGTGGTGGTTTTCCAAAATTCCCTCCCAGCTCATTTCTCTCCCGTGGGTTTGACCTAAGTTGATCCCAAACTGTATTGTACTGTATTGGCTAGCCTGGAGCCGACCCACCGGATGACTTAAGTGTGATCGGGCATAAACCAAAGCCCCAGAAACTCAACCAGTACGATCGTGAGAACCAAGTACCTATTCCTGGGTTCTATATTTCGTCGGAGGCCGAGTGAGTGAAGCTATTGTACAAACCAATAAAAGTCCTGTTCTTGCCATTAAAATTTATAGCGCAAGTATCATATCATACCCACAACCGCGTATAAGCCACCCACCAACCTTGCACAGCCTCCGGTAGACCTCGGGGTACCAAGTGGCGCCAGAAAAGCAGGTGTCCATTCACCTCCAATTCAAAACTTCCGGGATACCATGCTCGGGGGATCGAATGTAGTAGGTATTGGAAAAGAAATTTCCACGATATAGATACAAGAGTTAGGTTATGTTCTCCAATTTCCACTAACCCCCGTGTGTGATATGATAGCTTACCCTACCCCCCCCCCGACTGAGAGCCGAGTGCTACTATGCGGATGGATGTCGTGTATGAGTTGGGGATATCTAGACGCATGAGGCAGCTGATAGCGCCGACGTGTCCCAGATAATGGGCCGAACTTCATAGCGGCAATCGCAGGGTGGGGTAGGAAATCCTACCGGGAAAAGGGAGAAAGATGGGATGAAGATTTAACAAGAAAAAGCTTCATACAGAATCTCCTCCATTTTTTCTTAGCGAAAACGTTACGCAGTGACCATGCGCTGGCCCGGACCGGTTGCTGTTGGAAATCAGTAGTCGCTGCGAGTCATTCTCTCAGACGTGCCTCCAATAGAACATTGTGGATGTGAGCCGGAGCAGTCTTGCCTCCTGGTCCAAACAGATTGTATACTGGAGATGTCTTGTCGGCGAAACATCTTATTCTTTAGGCACTAGTGTTACATACTAGAGATATGGGACAAGAGGAGTTTTTTTTGTCCTAGTTTTTAGGGGGGGGGGTTTCCTCCATGGAGATTCGGGGAATCAGAGGAGAAGTAATTATAGTCTAAGTCTTGTATTTCTTTCCTCTTTCCTTGACAATTGATTAGACTGTCGACATTTTTCAGTTTTTTTCCCTTCTACTTTGTCGGTCTCTCTCTGCCACTGCCCTTATCGCCCTTTATACAAATTAGGAAGTTATCGTCGAAGTCTTGTTGCATTCGGGAGAAATTGGTTTGAGAGGGTTCTATTCCCCTAGTGCTGGCGTATCATGGGTGGTTACCGGATAGTTTGTACAATATTGTGCGTGAAGGAGACTTGAGGTGGCCGCCTAGCTACTATATCACGTCATAAGTTGGGCAACGTATCGTACTTAAGACTGTTCAATTGGATAATATCGGGTAGGGTTCTATGGGTAGTTCGTTTCCCATCATATGGCACTAGGGATAGGGTAGTAGTGTTCCCTTTTTTTTTTTGCTCCTTTTATACAGGTTAGTATTGGGCATCTGGTATCTGGTGTTTTGGTTTAATCCGCGTTTCTACGGTAGCCTTTTGGCATAGGGAATTGGGTTTATGGATTGATTGTCACCCTGACTGCGGAGTGTTTGGCATGATCACAAAGACTTTAGTTGTTTGGGAAATATATGTGTCTCCCGTTCTATGAAAGCTAGTATCTGTATTGATGGTCTAGTTGGCTATTTCCCAAGCCTAGCTGTGCTTTACCCACTATGCCCCTACTTTCATCGCTTTTGCCTCTCGCTCTGTTCAATGGAGATTGTCGATTAAGTAAGGAAATTAAGCTATCGGTTTCTGTGATAATGAATCATCGTTTACTAGATAATTCTAGTGATAGTCTCGTGACAGGGAGCTCTTCAAAGAAAATTCTTCATCCTCCCATCAATTGAGACTTTCGGAAATGGAGAGCCCCCACCGGAAGTGTTAAGCTGGGTACCTAAAAAGCAGAGAGGTGCAATGCACGGTAGTAAAGGAATAAGGGCATGAGGAAAATTCTCGAGTGAGCCTTCTGCTTCATTTCTTAAAAAGGGAAAAAGGTTCTTGATTAACTCAAGCAAGAGTGACTCACAGAAATACATAATGGGAACTAACTACCACGAGAAGAGGCCGTGGTGTCGGCCAAGCTGTATTTGTTCACAGAAAAATAATGTTTTGGGGGTTGGTCTAGCGAGTGATGTGGCATGACGTCAGGTGAGAAGCTTTTTCTGTGTCTTGATAGGATTAGTATATACGGTGTTATGGGTGGGGATTTTTGGCGATTTACACAACTGGTAGATAAGAACTTTCCGTGAAGGACGTAGCTCGATATGAGTGCTGGAAAGGATGAAGGGGCAATCCGAGCAAGGGATTTCCGAGTGATAACGTTCGCTCCATTACAACCGGGGGGGGGAAGAATTTCACAGCTGGTAGGGTGGGAAGGTACCCCCGCCTTAGTCTGTGGCGTCTGTGCCTTTAGGTTTATTTGTAAGGGGACTGGTTGGCTCAACTAGGAAACTGCAATTGATTATCATCCTCGGTGATTCTAGAGCAAAACTTCTCCGTTCCAGTAGTCTTCACAATACTCCAACGCTAATTCCCCAAAGCCCATATAGTGAGGACTATTTAGAGAGTAATGCTTACTGCACTGGGGTTGGCATCCTCTCGTTCCGGGAGTAACTTCACGACTAACCATGGCCTGCCCAGAAGCCGACGAGAGGGGCGTCGGCACATTACCACCAAGTGGAGGCTGTTGCCCTCCTCCAGAGCAAGACCTTCGCCACAAGGGCAGCGGTTAGTCAGTTCTATCTGACATGCACAGACCGACATCCCCCCACTCAGATTCCTGCCCCACAGCTTCCTTATACCCATATCTAGCGGCCCACTCCCGTGGTCACTCGCTACTGTTGTGCGACTCGTCGAGACTAATATCCGCACCTTCCAATAGTATCCTCAACACCGCACCGCCCGCTCCCACCCGCCCATGGGGGTGGTACTTGGACTTTGTTATCCTCCAAGTTTTGAACCCATATCCTTCAGTTTAAGGAGCATCTCCACGAACACTATATTCCCTCTTGTTAGAAATGAGGAAAGTGTTGGTGGGTGGAAACGAGAAGATCCAGACCTAGGACTACGCCAAGGGGTCGCACAACTGGGGATACTCTGCCGCGTCATGTTGCCTTCTCTTCTGAGGAACAAATAGTTCCGGCGATGCGATTCTTCCTTCTCTCTCTGTACTAAGAAACAAAATCGAACAAACATCTTCTCTCTCTCTGCGTGACCTTTAGTTTAACAGGTTATGAGCCTGGTCTGCTGCTACCTCGATTCTGGTCTTTTCTCGCTCTAGGAATCCTGTTAACGTGGTCCCTCGAAAGCCAACCTGTGTTTTCAGAACACACAGATCTTTTTTAGCTTATTTGCATTTGCTGAATCTCTCCTTATTAATCTACCCTCAATTTTCCCTATCTCACCCGACTCCTTTCCTTTCTTTGAATCAATCACTTTCCTCAATAGTCTAATTAGTCTCCGGAGAATATGATGGGCTCCTTTTACTGTTCTAAATATGCAGGCGAGATCCTACTTCTTACCGATACGAACTATCATGTTTGGAGAAATGCAATTGCTATTCATTTGCAAGCGATACGAGCATTTGAGCATATAACCGAAAGTTCTCCACCCCCAGGCATTCCTTCATCAGGGGTTGGGGAAATGCAATCCGGCCCTAGTACCGGCCAAATGCAGGATATCTCTGAAGCCTATGAATCATACTGTCAAGTTGAGGCTAAAGCAAAGGGGGTAATCCTTGGCTCTACCTCTCCGGCGTTTAGACTATACTTGACAGGTATGGCAACCGTAAAGGAAATGTGGGATACACTGAAGGCACGACTAGATAAAGCTGGCTCCATAAATGGTCGGCTAGCCTTGCGACGACAATTCCTAACCGCTACTCCTGTACAAGGGCGCCCATTAGGAGAGTTTATCTCATACCTCCATGACATCCGTTTTCAACTCTCCGGTAGTGAGCAACGTATTGATGATGCTAGCTTTAAAGACAAGTGTTAGGCGGCAGCCAATTCTAAGTCAGGCGAATTGTAACTGGGGCCAATTAAGTTTCTCGGAGAGTGGTCAAGAAAGCTTGTAACAAAAGTAGGTATCAAAGTATAACAAATATATTGATAAGATCTCTTCTCTGTTC